ACCAATTTTTAAAAAAAAAAAAAAGTTCAACCTACCAAAGCTCACAAAATAAGAAAAAGTTGGTGTAAATAGGTTTGTATGTACAAAAGAAAATAAATCACCAAATCTAGCAAACAGAAATTCCACGTTCAGATGGCTTCACTGGAAAACTACTGCCACCATTTAAGAAAGGAATGTTGGTCCTTTGTACAATCTCATCAGATAACAGGAACAGGAAGATTACTTCCTTACCAATTCTACAAAGCCAACACAGTCTTCATATCACCGCCTGTAAGACTATCCAATTAGAAAAAATATCACATGAAAAGAAAACTAAAGAAAAATTTCTCTCATAACCAGCTCTGTGGAGGCAAAAAAAAAATCACCACCATAATATTAGCATCTCATTTCTAACAATGTGTAGAAATTTATGGATCAGGAACTGACCAATTTTTATTCCAGGTATGAAAAGCTGGTTGACAACTTGAAAGAAAATGGAAATCATCACATCAACAAACTACAGATTGATTTTGAGATCAATCCTTGGTAAAGAGTGAAATAAGAAAATAAAAAGAAAGTTATATGAATTGGGAAGAAAGAAAACTCTTCCTCAAAGAGGACAAGTCATTTCTGTATAGAAAAATGAAAAATCAATGAAAGTAGCCCTAGAACTAAACGAATACAGCAAGGTTGCAGAACACAAAAGTTAATTCTCAGGACTGCCATTGTGTTGTAGCAAGTTATGCTGCTCGCTGGGATGCTGGTATTCCATATGGGCTCCAATTCAAGCCCTGGCTGCTCCACTTGTAATCTACTTCCCATCCAATGTGTCCAGTAAAGCAGCAATTATGGCCCCAGTGCTTGGGCCCTGTGCCCAGGTAGGAAGATGGAGAAGTTCCTGGCTCCCAGATTTGGCCCAGTCCACCTCCAAAATTCTGGCCATTTGAGGAGTAACCCAGTGAATAGAAAATCTCTCTCTCTTTCTCTCTCTCTAAATAGTTCTACTTTAAATATAATCCTAAGAAATTCATTTATCCTTATATACCACCAATGAAAACTTTGTGCATAAATTGAAAACACAATGCTACTTATATTAATACATACAGTTATCAAAATATGTATAAAATTCTAATAAAATATAAAACTGATGAAAAATCAAAGGTAATTTAAATAAATAGAAATATAAAGCAAATATATGAATAGTAAGCCTCAATATTTTTATATCAGTTCCTATTTTGATCTGTAGCTCTCAAGCCAATCCAATCTAAAAACCTGAACACATCTTGTGGATATCAGCAAACTGATTCTAAAAGTTTAAATGGAAATGGACTATCTAGAATAAGACCCTCAATGCTGAAGAAAAAGTCAAAACTGTAAAAGCCGAAGGACTACCACTGTCCAACTTCAGGGCTTCTTATAAATCTCGAGGCAAGTATACGGCACATCATATTAACTTCCACTTGGAACACCACATCGCATATTTGTGAACCAGTTGGAAGGATTATGAGATACTCTACTTCCAATCCTGCTTTCTGCTAATGCATCCTAGAGGACTACAGACTGTGGCTCACGTGATGGGCTCCATGTAGGAGATTCAGGGGGAGTTCCATTGCCCCTGACTTCTGTGTGACCTAACCTTGGTGACGAGATAACTGGAAAATGCATTTAAAGTACATGAAAATATAAAACACATTTTAAACAAAACTAATTATAATAAACATTTTAAATTTGAAATAAGATGTTGGCAATGTGATGTTGGCAAAAGAACAGAAACACATCAATAGGGTAGTACGGAGAATTTAAAAAGACAATGAGAAGTTTTATGGTTAAAGGTAATATTTTCTTTTTTAAAAAAATATTTTCATTTGAAAAGCAAAACAACTGACAGGGAGACAGATATCTTCCATCTAGGCATTCACTCTCCAAATGGCCACAATAGCCAGGTGTATGCCACACAGATCCCAGGAACTCCCTCTGGGGCCCAAATCCTTAGACCATTATCCACTGCCTTCCCAGATACACTGGCAGGAATTTAGGATGGAAACAAAGGAGGGATCTAGAATTGACACTGATATGGGATGCTGTCATCATAAGCAGCAGCTTAACACATTAAGCCATAATACCCACTCCAAAAAAGTGATATTTTCACAAGAACTGTTGGAACAACCAGATGTCCAATTGCAAGAGAAAAAATTATACAGAACTTAGATTTTACAAATTTCATAACAGCTAAACCAAATTGTACAATGTTCTCTTGGCCTCCAGTCCTCACTGTAAGCTCTTTGATTCGAATCATTTTTGATCTCACACACACACACACACACACACACACCACACACACCCCTAAGGAAGCCTGATTCTGACCCAATATTTACACCATAGGAAAAGGATTCTTTTTATACCTGTATGAAGAGTATCCAAAATTCAATACACTTGATTTCAGATAACAGAACTCACAGTTATTACAGTTTTGTCTTAGTCACTATATAGAAGTACTTTCACTTTTCTACTTGACCAAGGAAATGGTGAAAAATGTTTTCCTATACCTACAGATAAATAGAAGTTTATAATGTACAGAATCTATCTATAAGTTCAGATTGGTGATAGAAAAAAGAGGCCAGATGCTAAGTCTTGTTTTATGAAATAAATTTTCTTCTTTCTCAAAACTCTCATAGTCCAAGGAGTCAATGTTTTGGATCTCACAACTCACATCACCAATATTCTCATTGAAACAAGGCCTAATTTTATAACAATATTCTTCATTTAAATGGTGACAGGAAATTTAAACTTCGGTAATTCATATTGTTGCTACAGTTTATTATTATTATTTAACAAAAAAATCACAGAAGATTCATCACTGCCTACAGGAGGTGAACGGTAGCTGAAATCATCCTTTATTCTCTTCCTCTCAATTTTCTTCTATAGCCTGTTATTGAACAATCATTTTAATCTTATTCTATGTATAATATAAGTATGCTAATTACAAACATGAATATGTTTTAGGAGAAAAAAATTAAATACAGTAGTTGAAGACTATGCCCATAGTTGGTTAACACATTTCAGTTATTGTGGAGTTGGGCAGAAAGTTTGTATGATGATTCCCCTCTTAAATGGATATCCAAACAGTTCAAGTGAAATAGAGTGACATTAATCATTTGGGTACGACCTACTTTGAGGGATGTTCTCTAAATGACTTGCTGTGTGGTCCATGACATTTCCTCAGGCTCACCAATAAAACATCAACAACTATAAAATCATATAGCAAGAACTTTGAGAGCACAAAAACATATGTATGGCAAATAAAGATAGTTAAAGTGAAACATGAGAATAGGCATTTACTTTCCAACAAGTGCAGAACCAGTATACCTGCCAGGCAATCATGACAAGTACAAAATAATAGTTTTTGATTCAATGAGTATATGAAAAGATCAATCGCAGTTCTCCTGAGCATAATAATTTGAATTATTTCACATTGAAAAGTCAATATTATTACTGCTCTTTGATAGCAACCTGAGGTTCACCTAAAATCACACAATCGGTATGTGATTTTAACAATAGTTACAGTCAGGCCTGTCTGAATGCAATACCTGGCTGTTCTCTACAAGCTCTCCTGGAGTTGCCTTAGCATTTTCTGTGTGAGAACGGCACATTCCTTAAGGAGATAGTTCCCAGGAACCATTCCTGGGAATGGTTGGCTTGGGTAGACCAAATGTTCCTGAAAGTTCTTCAGCTCAGGCTCACAGATCGGTAGCTGTAATTTCTCCAAATCCTTCAGATTTGTGCCCTGGAGAAACAAATCTGCACCCCTATCCTGTAAAGGAATAACTCAGTGCTAATTTTAGAGCATCATTATTCTGGCTCTCAGATACTTTTTCTTCATTAATTATTTTAGTTTGAATCTTTTGAACAATACCTGACTACTTTTGGATGGATTGTGAAGTTCAATTTGCTAAAAAAAAAAACAAAACAAAACAAAAAAAACAATATGAGAGATGGCTCCACTAGTTTCCTTTGAATTTTCCTTTATTCCCAAGATGTCACTCCAGGAACAACTGATGCTTCTCATTGTCTTTGCACATTATGTTGGTCCATTTGTCTCAAACTTGCTCTGCTTTGTATTTGGAAAAACCCTTTCTCCCTTAGAACTCAGTTCAAATGCTATCAACACATTTGTGAAGCTATGTTGGAAGACTTCAAGTACATTCAGTCTCATTCTTTTAAACTTCCACCTATCTTCACATGTATTATTGGTATATGTACTTGGCACTCTGCAGTTACTCCACCTGTATAATTCTGCTCTCTAAAATAGCTTGTGAAGTACTCAAAGTATAGATGGAGCCAATCACCTTTATTATCCCAATACCCACGGCAGGATTTGACATATGAAAAAATATTCAATAAATCCACTTAGAAATGATATTTTAAACTCTATCATTTAGCCTTTCAGACCTGCCACCCTCAGGAAAATGTCATAAGATAAGTAATTTCTATGGGGTTATTTTCTGCTTAAGGGGCTTATGGGAAATCACATTTACCAAATCATGTTTGCTCCAAGGTCTCTGAACTTAATTTATCAGTGTGAAACTTCATATTGTATATTCATTTTACAATTGGCATCTCCATGTCTAACACAACACTCTGCTTATAAAACCCAAAAGACATTTTATTTGATAGTGATGTCACTGGAATTCTTGGCTCTCTGGGACCTTTAGTGATTTTTTGTAGTGAACCAAAGTGCCATGGAAGAATAAAGAAAAACAACATTTTAAAATCTGTTCGTAGTTTTGAACTTACTCACAAGTGTTTCTTTCACAGATGTAAAGGGATCTGTATGATAAAGATTTGTCACAGGCCTTGTGACCTTCCAAACAAAGCTATTCATAAATTCAGCATTAGAAACACCGGCCCTTTATTGAGAACTGTGATTATCCTCTCTCAACAACAAAGACCATATAATGTAACCACGCATTCATCTAAACATACATATTGTTAATAACAAAAGAATGAGATATTGCACTGACCATAGTCTGTGTTTTCTGGCTCCCAACAATTTGATGGCCAAAAATAGGGTGTCTGAGAAGCAAGAAGGGAAATTCAGGTTAGACAATATGAATGTCGGTAGAATATCTTGTGTGAAAGCTGTGTTTACATTCAGCAATTGAATAAGGTATTTTTACTAATGACATACATTTTCTACTCCAAAACAAGTTCCCAGAGAAACATTGTAAAGTTGTCATCCACATTTTCTTTGTTGATCAATTGCTGAATCTTCAAATATGAATAGTATCATCAGCTATTTAGAATGTTGTACATTAACTATAATTTTACCCAAACAAACATAAAAGTAACAGCTATGGCTGCATTTTGCAATGAGTGTCCATCCACAGAAAGGACTTATAATAGCCACTTATACTCAGCAAAGCTCAGGAAAAACACTTTAAAATATGGCATTATTTCTATGCATCCTGTATTTCAATGCTGCCTTTGGTATATCAAAAAGCTCAACAAAGCTCTTTCAGTCATTTGCCTGGGTCCACCAGTTATGCAATGTACTTCAAAATATTATTTGAGCAGGTTAAACTAATTTTTACCTCTACTTCTGAACCATCTTTTATAAAGGCATTTACTATCCAAGAGTTCCAAACTGCACAAACAAGATCTTTTTTTTTTAAATTGGACAATATTTTAGTTTACTGGTATAATTAATAAGGAGAACTCATTACAGAAGGAACTACAAAGAAAATGTCTGCTCAAGTAAAACTTCACTATTTTGATCCACATTTTATAAATTCCAAATGAACTTCTTCAGCCCTTCCAGCTAGACCTGTGGGCTCCGGACCAAACAGGAATCTGAGATTAACTCTCTGCTCACCTAGTCCTTTTCCTGCCATGTGATGATGTGATGCCTCCAGGACTCAGAGAGGCAGTGAACACAGCAGTAGAACTGAGAGCTCCCCTGTAGTTCTTAATTCACAATGCTAATGCCCCTGTGCCATGCACATCTTCTGGGTGCTCTCTGATTATCTAATGATTCTCCACTCGAAAAGTATGATTCCTTACTAAGAAGGGCACATGTCAGTTAGGGAGAACTGTTTGTATCCTGGAGGGAGAGTCTTTGCAAAATGTATGAGAACCTTCAGGAAATTCTGATTTAACCTTGACTCTTTGCAGCCTGCTGCAGTATAATACAGAAAACTACCCAAAGCAATGTTGTGAATGCATGAACAGAAATCACAGTAGAAATCAAAGAGAGAGAGAGAGAGAGAGAGAGAGAGAATGAACCATTAGATACAGGAGGATGGTAAGGCTTTAAGAGGACTACCTCCATCACGCCAATTCCACTCAACTTGAGCTAAAGCTGAGATGATTTTATTTCTTAGAAATAAAATTGGATCAGGGTTCTAGGAAAGCCACAGAAGGACAAAGCCTACGACAGGTTGCTTTCCTATGGGGCAATGGCTTTTGAGATTCTTCTCTGAGACTATGCTGCTCCCTTTGGGCTGCTTCTATACATTAAACATTCATGTATGTGTTAATCTTCCTTTCAAATATCACTGTAAACTTCACAATTTTTTGTTTTGTAAATTTAAAACTATTCTGAAATAAAAGGTTTTTAAAAAATATGCTGTAATCACATTCATCACACACAAACCTTTTCCCTCACAACCACAAGGGATGTCCTGAGTTATGTTTTTACAGTATTACTTTCTTTTTTTCCACAGACTTTGGTAAGAATTTAAGAACTGTAAGAATAAAGAATGTAGCTTTTTGCTCTTGTGCAAGTGTGCATCAAAACCTGACTTTTTTCCCTAATGCTGAGAAATTTTTCTAGGATAAAGCCTTCTGCTTATAGGCAATAGGTCATATAAGAGGATATTCAGATGAAAGCCTATTTGTTGAGAATCTAACAGCCAAGTCTGATAATTTTACTAGACTTCAGTATATATTAATGCATTGTGTCTGTTTTCAATGTTGACCTCCTTAGATAAGATAAAACTTAATCTACACTGTGCAGCCATAGAACAATCACCTTTGGCATATGCTAACGTGATGAAAGTCTCGAAAGATTCCTAGAAAGTCATGCCAGATATAATTCCAATTACTAGAAAATGAGTAGACACTTTTAAGCTTATACTGAAGTCATATAATTAAAATCTGTGCTACAAATTTGAAGCACATGTATGCCAATAAAGTGAATCCTGCCACCTCAATCCTGAAATTTGTAAGAATCCTAATGACAAAATCTCAATCATTCACTGGAGAAATTGTAAGTATAGCATCATAAATCTCTTCTTATAATCTGTATTTTTTAAAAATTAAATTCCAATGACCTGAATTTCAGTTCAAAGACCATGAAGAACTTTCTTCTACTTGGACTTAACAAAAATGGAAGTGAAAAATCCTGAACAAAAAAAAATTTTTATTAGCAGTGCTCAAATAGGGATAAGTTAATGTCTTCATAGATATTATTATCAATATTCAATTATCTTTGATTATTCTGTTTTGCTTTGGGATTTTCAATTTTTGATTCAATGGTTAATAGATTTGAAAATATATCATATTTAAGGTGTCAAATATAGATGATGGTTAAAATACTAAGTCATTAATATGTAACATTATACACTATAAAGTGCTCATGCACAACAGACATATAATGTATATTACCTATAGTAGTATTTGAATTTTGGAATGTTCTAACAATTTTTAAGTGATGCAATTTAATGTAATTTTGTTTAAAAATTCTTTTCTTTTTGGAGCCAGCATTGTGGTGTGGTGAGTAAAACCACCATCTGTAATGCGGATAGTCCAAATAAGGGCCACTTGGCCAATTCCTATCCAGCTTGTAGCTAATGGTCTGGGAAAAACAGTGGAAGATGGCCTGATCTGGGGGCTTCTACCACCCACGTGGGAGACCCAGAGTTCCTGGCTCCTGGTTTGGTCTGGCTCAGCCCTGGCTATTGTGCCCATCTGTGCAGTGAACCAATGGATGTAAGATTTCTTTGTCTTCCCCAATCTTCTCTGTAACTCTACTCTCAAGTTAAATAAACAAATATTTAGAAAAGTTTTTCCTTTTTTCCAGAAATGCCATTGACCCATTTCAAGCTTTGCTCATCGTTCATAAAGATGTGTACTAATTTCAATCTGACAATGAAAAAACTTAGAGATTTAGATGGACATTATTGCCAATTCAAGTCATCATCACTAACTTTAAGCTCCATTTAATCTACTTTATTTGATAGAGTATTAGATAATTCTCAACAGAAAGATAGTGTTCATTGTCATCCTCACAGCTTTGTCTTTTTATATATGGATTATTTTCCTTATTATTTCTGTGAAAAAATGAGCATGCTTTTACTCTTATAAAAACAAAACATCTACATTTCCTTCTTCCTATCCCTGCAACAGTAAAATCTCTAAATACCAAGAAGTATTAGTCACATGTAAATAACTAAACTTTTAATCATTGACAATACTCATTTATTAACTTGCTATCATAAGGGAAGAAAATTATTCAAACTTAGTAATTTATCAAGCTACCAGTACTTTAAAATTAGGTGTATGAAGAAAAAAAGAGCAGTGTTTTAAAACTGTATAATTCAATTCATTAGAAATGCTTGAAAACTTGGATCCACATCACATTTAAGACTACACTTTTTCTCAACTATTCAACACAAAAACATTTTAGGATTATTTACTTAGGGACATAACAGTCCTAGGAAAGCTACAGTTCAACTGCTCTAGGAGGGCAATGAATTTTGAAATTATTTTTCAGCATTTTTGTAAGCTTTTCCAATAAAGCTTAAGTTCCCCAAATTTCTATTTAGTCATTTAATCAGACACAGAATATTTGATAATACACAGAACAATTGAGACTAATGGCCCTGCTTGTGTCTAAAAATTGGGCAACTGGTGCCACTTCTAGAAGATACATTCAGGAAGAAGCTAGAATTTGAATTCTGCCATTCTCAAGATTATGTAACTTAATTTCACAAGATAAAATCCCTAGTCAGTTATTAATAAATCATTAGGTCTATTAAAATATGAGTTTGCAAATAAGTTATTGTGATCTCAAGTGTCAACTATGTGCACAAGGACTGAAATTAATGTCTAAAATTGCCTGGAGCATTTTTGCTCTGTGAAGTGATGATGACAATGATGTCTGTAACTCTGGAAGTTTCTAAGTGGTTCTCCTATCCCAGGTGAGTGTATGCATGCAAAGCATCCACCTTATCAGTCTAATTTACAGAAGAGCCTCAAATGTAGACATGAAAATGATGTGTCTAATTAGCTCATTCTACAATAAAATGTCATGCATTCTCATGCGAGTTTCTGTGGGCTGAAAAGGGGTCTGTACCATCATCAAATTCTGTTACACATCTCAGCTTCTTAACTAGTCGTTAGATACATTTATAGATTGAGATAGTCCTATCTGCCTGAAGTCTTTCGAATTACATTTTGAATTATCCTTAAGGTTTTATATAAAACAGAATTTCCACATGAAGAAGGTCAGTTTCCATAGTCATGTTAAGATCACCTCTGTCTCTCCCTGGTTACCATTTTTTACATGCTAAGTTTTTATAAATTAGTTTCTAATTAACCGATGTCCAAGTAAAATTAAGTACCTGTTTTCAAAAGTTCCACATTTTTTTTAAAGATCACAAATCAAACGCAGCGTTCCAGTTCACTGTTCAAAGAGCATTTGCATTAAACTTACTTGAAATCGATAAAAGGTGCCATCATCCTTCAAGGTGAGGACATGGTCTGAGATCGGAAAGAAGTAGCCATGGGCAGCCATTAACGTTCCTAAATGCAGCGCTTCCACTGTTCCATGAAAACAAAACAACAACAACAAAGGAGGGGGAAAGCACAAAGAAGTTTCTTTTAAAAATGTATCTTTTATTATTGATTTAGCGGATGGTAACATTTTTGTCTGGTTTCTTGGAACATGTTCTTGTACTCCAACTATTGAAGTCCAGCACCTGGCTTTGCACTTTTTTCTTTCAACTGTTTAGCACAAAATAGTAAGATACTAAATTCACAGCTCATGAGAAGATAAAATTATGAAACTCAGAAGCTCATCTGAATCTTCAGAAATTGGATCCCTTATTTTATAGATGGGGCATGTGTTCACTTTGTGTAAATACAAACAATGTTTTATTACTGTTTATATACAATATATTATGTAGAATATATATATTATGTTCTATATGATATGTTAATATATGAGTGTATATATATATATATATATATATATATAGTCCTCCAAGTTTCAGGTTTGTACATTTCTGACTAAGGGAAATTCATTTTGATAATTTTGCATAATGCCATGACTTTTGTAGTGATGTTCGGTACAACATGGATAAGATTAACTTAGAGAAATGAATCATACATCACAGGTCAAGGTCAACGCAAACATTCAGCTTAATATTTAAGGTTGGCCTTCTAATGATGTCTATAATGACTGTGAGATACTTTTTCAAATAGAAGCCCAGAAAGACTGATATTACACACGTACCTACATGGTAGGATCGATTCTTAGTTGAAATATCAGTACTTATTTGGCATTTAGTTTATCAATAGTAAAGGTGGCTTATATTCATATTTGCTGATGAGTGCACAAATGAACTTGTAAAGAAATGATACATTACTAAAAAAAGAAACAACACTGCCTGGGAAAGCGTTACTTGTGTTGTGATGATGAGCAGCTTGTTCTGCTTTTCCAAAATAATGTAGATGTTCAAGTTCTCTTTTAAAAATTCGTTTGTAGGCTTTTGGAGCTATTTTGTCATGGGAAATGATAATAGTGGTGTTAATGACATACGGAGACATCTCGGAATGGGATTGAGGTTGTTTCCCCAGGCTGACTTGTGTATTGCCAGTGATGATCATTGAGCTACACTTCCTTGTGTTCCAGTGCACCTAAATCCCAACATGATCTTCAACTAATAAAAATCTAGGGACTGCTGAGTCTCAGAACAAAGTGTTGAAAGTGTCTAATGAATAATCTACCAAGACTGCCCTCCCAATAAAGGTACAGCAGATGGCTTAGTAATGGTATGCTGCTTCACAAAATAAGCATTAATTAATCTTGTACATGTGTTATTCACTTCACCCACACAGCTAAAGGTTTAACAGCAAACCTACCAAAATTTCCAGTTAATTTTTCATTTGAACATTTAAGCCATGTGCAAACTAAGAAATAAAGGTTCATCTTTAAGCAACGGTTACCATGTGAACATCTTAGTGCAATTTTAAGGCTGATGCTTCCATAGCTTTAATTTATTCAAAACCCTGAGTCAATAAAATGATGAATATCCTTTAAGAGAAAAGAGAATCCCATATTACATAATTTGCTTTTGACTGCAACTACTTCAAAAAATAATGGGATGAAAACATACTCCAAAACAGGGTTGAGTACTTTAGTATAAAGTATGCTATAATTATAAAATATGAGCCATATTTTTCTTTCTTTTTTTTTTTAATTGTTGCTTACATTGTATTATGTAGTACAGTTTTATAGGCGCTGGGGATTCCCCCCACCCCTCCCATACCCCTCCCCCCATGGTGGATTCCTCCACCTTGTTGCATAACCATAGTTCAAGTTCAGTTGAGATTCATTGCTTGCAAACACATGCCTAGCATAAAGTTCAGCGTCTTATTGTCCAGATAAGTTCAGTGGCCTCTTGGGGAGACCTTCTATGGTCTGAAGATAGGTCTAACAGAGTAAAGATCCGGTCAGTTAAAAGCCCCAACAAGGCCTCAGTATCAATATACAACATTATGGAATTAATTGACATAGTATTGGGTAAACAATATGTTAAAAATAATGCAAGTTCCATTCTTCGAAACATCTGGGTTGAGACAGTATCAATGACAGGTTCAAAAAATAACAAACAACCATACAAAAATTACAGGTTAAATCAAGGCAAACATGTGGTATCTAATCTTTTGGGATTCACTCATTTCCCTTAGCATTATAGTTTCCAGTTGTGCCCATTTAGCCACAAAGAACTGCATTTTGTTTTTTTTAATAGCTGAGTAGTATTCCATGGAGTAGATGAACCAAAGCTTTCTTATCCAATCTTCTGCTGATGGGCATTTTGGTTGCTTCCATGTTTTTGCAATTACTGAGTAGGAGTAGGTTCCGACTTTCTAAGAAGGACACCAAAAGCAATAGCAGTTGAGAACAGAATAAACAAATGGGACCTCATCAAACTAAGAAGCTTCTGTACAGCAAGGGAAACAATCAACAAAGTAAAAAAGCAACCCACAGAGTGGGAGAAGATCTTTGCACATGATATAGGCGATAGGGGGCTAATTTCCAGGATATACAAAGAACTTCAAAACAACCAAAAAACCAAAACGAACAAGCCACTCAAGAAATGGGCACGGGAAATGGGCAAACATTTCACAAAGGAACAAGTCCAAATGGCAAACAAACATATGAAAAAAAATGTTCCAGCTCCCTAGCAATAAGGGAAATCCAAATTAAAACATCGATGAGGTACCACCTAACACCAGCAAGATTGGCCCACATAAACAAGAACACCAACGACGCTTGCTGGCGAGGATGCGGGGAAAAGGGAACCCTACTCCACTGCTGGTGGAGCTGCAAATTGGTACAGCCTCTATGGAAATCAGTCTGGAGAACACTCAAACAATTCAAAATCTGCATACCATATGACCCAGCAATAGCACTCCTAGGAATATATCCAAAACACCTGTTTTACGACAAACCAACATGCATCCCTATGTTCATTGCAGCACAATCAGTAAGAGCCATATTTTTCTTATCAAGAAGCCCAACTCATATTATCCTCAGTTCCTCCAAAATATAGCACCTAACTAAAAGGTTTGATTTATTTTCATTTATTTGAAAGGTGGAGTAACAGAAAGACAGCCACTAGAGCACATACACATACATACATAGAGAGATAGAGAGACAGGGAGGGGGCAGAAAAGGGAGAAGGATAGAAAGGAAGGGGAAGGGACAGGGTATTTTAATGTTTACTCCACAAATGCTTGTATTAGCCAGGGCTACAACAGGCAGGAGTGAGGAACCCAGAACTTAACCCGTCTCCCATGGGGTGACAGACGGCAAGTGCTCCATGTGTCATCTGTTATCTCTTAGGATGCCTCAGTGTGAATGAGAGCAGCTGTACATAGAATAGCACCTCTATAAGGGATGCAGGTGTCCTAAGCAGTGGCTTCACCCACTGTCACACAATGCCTACCTTGCCCTAAAACAAAACGAAACAAAACAAAACAAAAAACCTCTCTGACTCAAGCAAATAAAACTCAAACAAACAAACAAAAAATCCTCACTGGTACCAGCACAATGATTCAACTGGCAAATCCTCTACCTTGTAGTGCTGGCATCCCACATGGGAACCGGTTTGTGCCCCAGCTGCTCCACTTCCTATTCAGCTCCTGGCGTATGGCCTGGGAAAGCAGCAGAAGGTGGCCTAACTCCTAGGGACTCTACATCCCAGTAGGAGCCCCAGAAATAGCTTTTAGTTCCTGGCTTCAGGTCAGCTGAACCCTGACTTTTGCAGCCACTAGGGGAGTGAACCAACAAATGGAAGATTTTTCTCTGTCTGTCCTCTCTGTAAATTTGCCTTTACAAAGTAAATCTTTGAAAACAATTCTCACTAAATTATGTTTTATTCCTGCTCTGTGTCTACCATATTTATATCCTTGCACTAAAAAAGATGGCTATCTCATTGACAATACTTAGCATAAATATGTTAAGTGTATTGGGACAAGGATTTTAGAAGAAAGCCTAAATAAGAAAAAGTGATGATGATAATATGTCTAGGAACCACAAATTTTAAAAAGGAGTAAAAATGAGTACTCCATAGAAAAACAATAAGCATTCACCAAGACAACTCTGGGTCACAAAGACAAGAAGGTTTTGGATTTCTTATTCTACGTAAGTAGACACAGAAGTGGTCATTTTAGCAATTCTTCCAAATATTATACCTTTTTTTTAGAATTGACATTGTAAAAGGTAAGATGAACCATGTAGGAAAATCACATATACAGAACATTTCATTCTCCAACAATGCCAAATAAAAGGTGGATTAAAGTCACAGTTAGCAACTTATAAAATATATATATTGTCCCAACAGCAGGACTTAGTTAAATAAAGATCTGGAATTTCATTTTTTATTTTTTAAAAGATTTTTTTTCTTTATTTTAAAGGCAGATTTACAAAGACAAAGTGTGCACGACAGAGGTGATAGAGAAAGATCTTCCATCGACTGGTTCACTTCCCAAATGGTCATAAGGGCCAAGCTGAGCTGAATCAAAACCAGGAGACAAGAGCTTCTTCTGGGTCTCCCACATGGCTGTAGGGGTCCAAGAACTTGAGACAATCTCCACTGGTTTCCTAGATCATAAGCCGGGAGTTGGATGGGAAATGGAGCAACACGACTAGAACTAACAGCAAACAGGATGATGGCATTGCTAAGTGGAGGATTAGCCTGATGAGTCACTGCACTGGCCCCTGACTTTTTTCACTTTTTAACATAATTTCCATATAGGGAAAAAATGGCACTTGGTTTTTACTAGTGATAAATCAGGATTTATTAGATGCAAGAGTGAAGTAAATAGTAAGGTGTTCTAGAGTCTATTTTGCAGAAATAATAGCAATTACAATTTAAAATAATATTTCAGACTGCAACAGGTATTAGTTCCAAAGACTAGAACAGAATACTGATTCTGTGACAATCTGCTGCTGGGGTTCAGGCCCCTTTTCTCGACTTGTTAGCTATGTGGCCTGAGCAAGAGAATTCGATTTTCTGCACTGTGGCATTCGC